GGGGGGGGAGAAATTATTTGCAACTACCCTGTTTCCCCGAAAATACAACCTACCCTGAAAGTAAGGCCTAGCTTAATTTTTTTACACACCCAAAATAAGCCCTAATGAAGATCCCACCTACTCGAATGGATACCCAGACAACAGGATGTTTATGAAGCACTAAGAAATGTAGCCTGTTTCCCCCGAAAATACGACCTACCGTGTAAGTAAGTCTTAGCCTGATTTATTACACGTGAGCCCAATATAAGCCCTACCCCCCAAAATAAGCCCTAATGAAGATCCCACCCACTCCAGAGTAGACGGGTAAAAATTAAACTAGGGTGGGAGGGGTGTTGGAGCTGCCCTACTACTTACCTTTGGGCAGTTGTAGCCAGGCCTCGCACACATCCCGACACCTGCCTTGCCGGCCCATTTCTTCGGCAGCCGGCAAGGCTTTCCTGAAGGTTTCTGGAGCTGATAACAAAGTTCCGGATTGATCCGGAGATATCAGCGGTTATTGGCTGCAGAGGCCTTCAGGAAAGCCTTGCCGGCTGCAGAAGAAGGACTTCCGGAAGGAGGCCAGTGGGCGACGGTTACAAGTGAGGTTAGTCCATGGATGACGTCCCCCGAAAATAAGGCCTTCCGGATCTCTGGAACTAAAATTATATTTATTGTACTTACTAAGCTTCTGTCAGCCTCTGCTGACATCGTCAGAGTATTAAACTTAACCATTACAGAGATCCATGCCTTTATATATCATTAATCAATTTAGCCCTTGCACATGGTAATAGGCCCTTCCAACCGCCTCCCACCTGTAATTAACTGTTGTTTTTGCTTTAGTCATGTTGGTCAATGGAGGTTTAACTCCTGTTGTTTCCTCCCTTGCCAGACCCAGTTTGGTTTGCTTATCTCTAAGAAGTGATATTAACTTGTCAGCTATTGCAATTTGTTGCTTTGCTCGTGACCTTGAGGTTGGCCCGGCTCTTCTCCATTAAATTGATTAATGATCTAAATTGATTAATGATATGTAAAGGCACAGGTCTCTGTAATGGTAGTTTAATGCCCTGATGATGTCAGCAGAGGCTGATGAAAGCTTAGTAAGTATAATATCTTTCCATGGTCTTTTTAGAGTTGCCAACAGAAAGGGAGGGAGGGGGGGGCAGTGCAACAGCTTGGAAACCAAAAGCGCATTTCATCAATAGTTTTTCAGAGATAGAAACTAGGTGACTGAAGTTTCTGCCAAGTAAAATTCCAACTGGAGAGCATGACTCTGGGCTATGGATGTGTCCCATTAGAGAATATGATTCATGACACATCCAGGGGGTGTAGGGAGGGAGAAACCAGGGTCAAGGGTGACAATGAATTATATATCTCAGAGTCGGCTACACCTAGTTAGTACTGAACATGTTAACTCCCAATAAATCCTTTGGAAGTTTTGCAAGTTTGGCTCGAGACTCAGGATTTAATTGGAATCTTGACAACCAGGTCTTATTTTCGGGGAAACACTGTATGTTATGTACCGCCCGGCTGCCATTTTGACTTATTTGCAGGTTTCCCTCCTCCCCAGGTCCCAATCAGACATCTTCCGGTATCCCCCCCCCCCACCAAGCTGTCCACGCGTGACACCTACTGCACTTTGGTGGCAAAAGGCTCCAGTCCCGCGTAGCGCAGGGTGGGCGAGAGAAGGACATGGTGGGCTTCCTCGCGCCCCTGGACGCTGTTCTCCTCCGCCTCCAGGTAGACCCCATTGGGGCCGCTGCCCGGGCCCCCTCCCTGTGGATCAGCCTTCACCGGGCGGCAGCTCAAGATGGACGTGATCCCTGCGGGGCAAGGAAGGAAGGGGGTACCATTGCAGTGGAGGGGGGAGTTTGGGGGTGGTGGTTGGAGGGCTGACC